GAGATCAAAATCGAACCACTATCGAAATATCACGAAATATGCTATTTGACAGGTGTCACACAAGAAAGCTATAATGATGAGAGGATAGCGGATTGTGAAATTATGCATTATGAAACAGGTAAAATATTTTAACATCAATAAATCAATTCAATGCATTTATCAAACAGAAAAATTCGTTTTTTTGCTCATTTTATTATTTAAAATAAATTATTTGAATTGATTGTAGATTTCGTATTTAAAAACTGAATAAAATAGTTAATTAAACAATTTCTAGCTTGTCTTGTAGGTATATGTTCAAAATGTGGTTGTGTATGGAATGATTATCAACATATAACATATGAAGTGAAAACCGATATTCGTTATCTTAAGGAAGCATTCGATATCGCAACACGAATTAAAAACTTAAAAGAAGAAAAAATCAAAATAGAATTAAGTTTATAAAAAACTTGCAAAATATCTTCTTGCAAATGTCATTCTTCCACTACATGATGATATTATAGAATATCTTAAGCTTTGCATAAAACAAGAACAAATGAGAAAAGCTTGTGATGATTAAAATAATGAAGTTATTCAAGGACTTGAACATCTCATGGAAGAGTATAAAGAAGAAATTAATTTATTTAAAGAAACAATCAAAAATGAAAAAGATCCAACAAATTATAAAGATGTCGTTAAAACTGATGAGATATTTACTTTAGTTGGAACTCTTTATCGATTACCTATTTATGGAAATTTCATTCGTACACAAGTTAACGGACTACAAATCAGTCAAGATAACATATCATCAAAACGAGAAGTTTATGTTGAACTGTCAGCAAAAGCTAATACATCCAAAATTATGCATCAATTCAGAAATCATATTTCTTTAAAATAGATTTAATTTTTTACAATTACATTCAAAATAAAAAAGAAACTCAAGTAAATCTAATTTGTTTGTACAGTAAATATAATAATATTTTCAAAACATTGTTCTTGAAACTCATATCTACTTTTCAACTAAATTGGATACGGGTGATGAGAGAACTAATACTCCACACCTTGCACTCAGACGCATCAAATTTGTGTTTTTCTACAACTATATGACTCTCAAGAGGAGTTCTTGCGTTCTTTTTTTACGCATAGAAAACAACAGATTTTTTTTTATTTCACACCCACATCCTTACGCTGTCATCACATGTGTTCAAATAGAAAAACTAGAATGTTGTTTTTTCTATAGAATGAAACGTACTGTTGTTGCAGGATGTCGAAGTCATTTTGAGATGCAAACCGCGAAACATAAAAATTTTGGATCCACGAAAATTGGTCGATACGAAAATTGATCAACGAGAAAAATAGTCGAAAAATTCTTAATTAAGAAAAAAGAATCTTTCAATAAGAGCGACAGCAGTGTAAAAAATAAATTAATATCAGTAT